TTATAGGAAAGTTAAAATAATTTCTTTTGTCAAAAAGTTTAAATGTAATATTTTTATCTTCATTAATATTAAGAGTCAAATCTAAAAAATTTGCTGAAGAATTACTATTATTGGTTTTATTAAGAATTAATTCACAAAGAACAGGCAGGATTCAGAAACAATATGTCTACAAATAATTCAATAATGAAGTTAGTTCATAAGATCAAAACAGAGTTCGACTCTAAAAGAAGCTCCTTGGCAGTCTTTGTTGACTTTCAGGGTGCTTACGAAACTATCTGGAGAAAAAAGTTACTTTACAAACTTGATAAAATCGGAATAAGAGGAAATATGTGGAAATGGGCAAGAAGATTTTTAACCTAAAGATGGGTAAGAACAATATGGAATGACACGGAATCTCAATTCCGGCAAAGTATAATCGGTTTACTTCAAGGAGCAGTTTGCAGTTGCTCTCTCTTCAGCATATATATCAATGACCTCATAACAATTTTAAAAGAAATTTCCGTGGTTAATGTCTCCATGTTTGCCGATGATGTAGTCATTTGGATCGAGGCAACTAACTCCAGAAAATATCAAGATCAGAAACATTTCCTCGAGAGCACCATGAATGAAACATTGAAAATACTTCAAACTTGGTGCATTGATAGTAATATGCTTTTAAATAAGATCAAAACTATGTATCAATTCTTTTCCCTCCGAAAAATTAAGATGGATTTTGAATTGAAGATAGATGATGCTACACTAAGTAGGAGTGATTGTACAAAATATCTAGGCGTAACACTAGATAACAAATTAAACTTCACTGATCAGGTGAAAGTCACTGCAGAAAAAATGGAAGGCAGAATATCAATGATAAAAAGACTAGCCGGAGCCAAATGGGGATGAAATCAAGCAACCCTGAATACAATGTATAACACATATGTTAAACCCATAATCAAATATGGTAGTGAGGCCTTGATTTCTGCGGCAAAGAGTAGTATTGAAAAACTAGAAAAGGCGCAAAATAAAGCCCTTAGAGTTATCGTTGGAGCAGTAAAAACTACCCCAGTCACAGCAATGCAATTGTATACTTCCAACCCCCCATCAACATCGAAATTCAAAAGCAGGCAGTCGGAAGCTACATCAAAATTTTGACCTCACACAGAGCAGAGTGGATTCTAAATCAGGAACCCAGTACTCTCAAAACTCAAGTATCACAAGTAGAAATATGTCAAAACACACTTCAAGTTCTCGATGCTAACATTCCTACTGAAAGCACATATAAAATTATCAACCCACTTAAATATGTAGACATTGAAAACAACTTGACTGTAGGGAACTTGAGGAAAAAAGACAGTATTGAGGCAGAGCTGAGAGCAACTGCGTTGCAAATGATCTGCGAAAAATACCCAGAAAGCGACTGTATATACTGATGGATCTCAGATACAAGATAGATCTAGTGTTTTTTGTAAACTATTTCCCCAAAGTGCCCCTGTGGGTCATTATATGACCAATTTTGATGCAGAGATTCAAGCAATTTATCTTGCATTACAGAACCTAGAAACAAGATCTAATGAGTTCCTAAGGGTGGTTCTATTGGTAGACTCCATTTCTGCAATCCAAACAATCACAGAAAACCAATGTTTTAAAACTAAGCTGTTAAACGAAATTCAGCTGGATATAAACCTCCTCAAGGAAATGAATAAAACTATAGTTATACAGTGGATCCCTTCACATATTGGTATTGAAGGCAATGAGAACGCAGATTATCTGGCAAAAAACCGTACAACCATGCCTCAAGAAATAACAACCGTCACACCTGATACTCTTAAAAAATACATTATGAAAAAACTCAACGAAATAAATAATTATGATTTAACTATAGAATCAAAAGGCAAAATATGGGAAAATATTCAAGATAATTGGAAATTTCTCTGTTACCAACCCCGTAAAGAAGCAGTAACCCAATTTAGGCTTAAAACAGGTCACGATTGCTTATCAGAACATTTATATAACATAAAAATTCTTCCCAGCAAACCATGTCCAATTTGTGACAAAGGTGTATTAAACTCTGATCACCTCTTGTTATGCAAGGGACTAGATAGGAACTCCTAGAAAAGTGGGAATGTTACTAAATTGTATTGGGACGCAAAAACTCTCATGAATTGTCACTAACGTTACCTTTTTCATGCTAATGTTTAAAATTTTATAGTGTTGAAATGTTTATTGATTCAATTGTTTATTGTTCTTTCTTGTTCACTTGTCCTAAATTGTTTCTTTGTTATTTTTCTGCTCCTTTGTGATGCAGTGAGCTGTCAAATTTTCTGGATTGAATTCCTAATAAAGCCATATGAAACACAGAATTAATTCATTTGGATAAATATGTTTGGCTAGAATATCGAAATCATTAGAATTAATAACTAATAGATCATCAATGAATCTGAGAAAGAAATAATTAATTGGAAGATTAACACATGATTATACAAACCTATATTCTTGTAGAAAAAGAAAAATATTGCAGATGTTAGTACTAAAATTATTACCCATGGGCATACCATATATGTTGAAAAAGGTGGTCATTAAAAAGAATATAATTGTTGTTAAGGTTAATATGTACTAGGAAGTTCCAGGTATCTTCATTAATAATATCACTGAGATTAAACATGCTATGAATTTGAAGAAGGTCATCATGAATTTTATTTGTTGGAAGGGAAGTATATAGGTTTTCAAAATTAAAACAGTGAATTGAATCAACATTATTTAAAGTTTTTAGTGTATTTAAAGCCTGAATGCTATTTTTAATATTCCAATTTAAAAAATTATTATTTTTAGTAAGCTTATTAACTTTGCTATAAACTTTAAGAATGTTCTCAAAGTAAATACCAATTTTTTTCATGTTAATATTAACGCCACTAGCAATAAACCTGAATTTGGTTGGAGTCTTATGGAATTTCAATTGGCAAAAAGGAATGGAAAATTGTAAATATTATTTGGTTTAATTTTAAGTCCTTTATAAATAGCATTAATTTTATTAATAATAATATCACTGTTGGTGTTAAGTTTTTTGTGTGTTATATTGCGATTAAGTTCATTGGAAAGAAGTTGTTTGTAAAAATTTTTTTCAAATAATTGCAAAATTATTACTAGCTTTATCAACAGCGTTAATACAAAATTTATTTTGAATATTTTTAATATCTTGTTTTAGAAAAAGAGTAAAAAATTAAATCCTTATGAAAAACTAATTTGTCCCTTTTAATATTGATTTTAAAATCTTTAATGATATTCTCTCTCCATTCAAAGAAACCTTCAATTGGGAAANAGATAATTTTAAAATAAAATCGAGATTTTTAATAAAAATAGAAATTACTTTATTTCTAGAAGTTGGAAAAGACGGTCTAAATTTAGAAACTAAAGACAAAAATTTTTTAATTTTATTATTATCAATAATATCTAAATCACCTGTAATAACATGTTTATGGAAGGTATCAAAAAAAGAAGTATCCTTATACTCATCCCAATTACACACACAGTTCAAATTATGTGTAGCTAAATTTCTATAATTGTAGATTAAATTTTTTAGACTTTTTGTATACCTAAAAGTTGGTTTACATACAATTAAGTTGGACAGGAAGAAGGTTTTTATTTTTACCAATAATTGCATTTATGTTAAGATTATTAAAAATTTTATTAGTAAAATCTAAAACAAAATAATCTGGTTTGGGTAAATTCTTATGCTTATAATTATTTTTAAACCTATATCTAGCTAAATCTTCAACTGAATTTAAAACATTTGCAAAATCTTGTTTTGAATCAATTTTTACTTGATCTAACTTTAAAAAATTTAAAAGTTTGTTATGAAAATTAAGTTTAACCCTTAAAATCTTAGTTTTAATAGATTTAATAGCATTAGGCTGATCATAACAATTAATGCAATCATAAACAAAATCTTTTAAGTTATATTTAATTTTATAATTACTGTTACCTCTTTTTCNATAAATATATATATATATATAAAAAATATTAAAAAATTGCAAAATCTTATTGGCGCCTTGATAATTGTAATTGGCAGCGTAGATCATGATATGGAAAGATCCCCAAATACATAAATTCTTCTTATGTATTTTTGTAATTAGTATGTTTCAATCATCTTAATAGAATGTATGTTTCCATGGTATGATGTAGGGATAAATATTTGGATTTGTCATCTTTTTACAAATACAAATAATGAGAGTAACATAAATAAACCATGTTTTCAGGATTAGGTGGTTAAAAGTAAACACATCATATATTTTCTGCATAGATAAACATACTTTAACTAGAGGAAAGAATAATAAATCCTAGGGTATAAATAATACCACTTAGTTAAACAATGTAAGCATCAATACATAAATACAAGAGCCAATTGGAATTACCTTTTAAACTGTGTAAAATATAAAATAAAAATTTTGTAAATTAAATAGAAAGGTATAATTTGCTGCTAAAATTCAATAGCTTGAGCTGTCAGATACTTAAGAGAGAAAACAAAACAATAAAAAACGAACTTTAAATTTACTAATCCAAAGCAATTTAAATCAAACAACGTTATTCAATGACATGTTAAAAATCATAGAGATCACTAAATCTAAATACATTAATTAGCACACAATAAAAATTAGAATAGTACCTCACATAATCTAGTATAAGGTGCAGTGTCGTTAACATCTAATTTACAATTAGCAACCCATATCTTTCTTCTCAATTGATCTCTAGGAAATCTAAACAATCTCACATGGTTCCGAGTTGAATTTTTGCAGTTTGGTGCGACACAACAAACCATTTTATTGTAAACATACTCACTTTATCAATACAAGAGCGAACTCTCAGCGCGAAACAAAGATGGCAGACATATGGCATGCACCAACCAAAAAGTGTTCGTTTGCAATCAAAGCATTTCAATCAATAAGCAATCAGCACAATATAATGCACTTCCGTTTGGATTAAAAATTTCACATTATAAATAGTGCAGCACGAAAATAAATATTTACCTCGCATAATTTTGCGTAAGCGCCGGGTTCGTTTTGCAAACCCGAATTTTCCTTCCATACTTTTCTTCGTCCTTCTTCACTCGGAAATTTGAAGAATCGCATTTGCTTGATGCGAGAGGAATTGGAACATTTAGCTGCAGCACAAACTACCATTTTATAAAAATGGTACTTTAAAAGTACGAAATGGATAACTGATTAGAATCAATTAGTTGCGTGGTCTAAAATGGCAGATTTAAGTTGTTATGTTAACATTAGGACGATGATCGACAGCAAGGAGAAAAGGGTGGTGGGAGGGGAGGAGGAAAGTGGGTTTTGGTTTTGTTTTGATTCAAGAGCGGTGAGGAGGGGAGGGTAGATCAAAGTTTGCTGGTTAAGTTAGAATGCTTCTGACTGCCTACTTCTGTGTGGTTCAAGAGTTATATGCTTGTCAGTATTTTTTTTTTTTTTAAAAAGCGTTCAAGATTGATCTCATAATTACCTCTTGTTTTATTTTATGCGATAATGGATAATGCGATAATGGAAAACACAACATAAAGTTGTAATGGCAAAATATCTGTCATATGGATGAGTGATCGTGTAAAGCTAAGGGTGGTGGCGCTAGAGGTTAAATTGCTCTCGCAAGACTTTCGGGTTACTGCTTCCGATATATTTTTACGCCGCAGATTGAAAAAAAAACGCCATCATATTATTGCATCATATCTTTTTCAGTATTTCACATGTACCGAGTTCTTTCTTTCAGCCTTTAAACTTCAGCATTATCATATTAATATTATAATCATTAGAATATTTTCTAATTAGGCTAACTTAAAAAGATATTTTTGGCGACATTTTATTCAAATGTAGCCAAATAAGGGATAAAATACAAAACATGGCAAACCTTAAGAATTATTCACAATGAGATATTAACTTTCCAAAATTTTTTTTGGCCTTACGACCTCTGAGAATCAATACATTTCTGAAAGCTCTTATGAATGGTACAATTATGTTTAGATTTGAACCCAAATTACAATAACAAAACTGCATAGAATATTAGGCTTGTTCACACATCGCCTCGTAGTCATAACATAAGCGGAGGGATACACCGGAAATTTTCTAAATTTCTTCCGGTTTAAGGACGCTTGTTATTGTTTACATTAAGCCACCCATCCATATCTTTCAAAAACACTTTTGCAATCTTAGAACATATTTATAATTAAAAAACACTTTTATTAGATCGTTTTAAATTTTATGAAAAATATCTTTTTAGCTGGTATTTTGTTTTAAAAAGGATCTAACAAATGAAACAACGCAAAAGAAGAAGGAAAAAACATCGCACAAATTTTAACACAAAAGGAAGAAAAAAAAATCGCAAATGTGCTAAATACCAGATAGATTTTTTTTCCTTTTTCTTGTTTTTACCTTATTGTTCTTGTTTTTAGGAGTTCAAATCTTCTTTTTTAAGGAATTCAAATCGATGATGCTAGACAAAATTTTCTTTATTTGTCCGAAATATTGAAGAGGACTGTTAAAGATTTTTAATAATTGATGAGGACATGTACCAACCGTCTCCCGCCCCCACCAACGACTCTCATGGATCAGATCATAAAAAGTTTGTTAAAAAAATTAAAAAATAAACCCACCTGAAACACGAAAATAAAAACGTAATTTAAAGATACAGGAAAAAAGCTTTCTAGAGAGGGGAGGGGCAGTAAAAAAGATTCAAGTTTTTTTTTAGTAATAGAAAATTGACAGAGTTTTATGGGCACCACCAAACGAACTTCATTCTTCTGTAAACTATTCTTTAAGAAATTTTTAAACAAAAAATATAAAAATATTCTACGTGTTTTGGAATAAAAAGTTCCTTTTTTAAACTTAATATAAATATTTCTTGAAATGTATGGGTGTTTTTAAATTGACGCTCATTTTTTTTTAAATATAGAACCAGTTTAGGTGAATTTCGTGATTTGAAATACAATAAAAAAATTCGCAGCGTTTACCCTTATGTTAGCTGTATACAATTATGCATACTTAAAATTTATAGTGTTGTATACAATATAAATTCCTTTTTAAAATACTTTATAAATATTTCTTATCAAAACTGTTTTAAATAGTTTTCAATCAAATTGTCGCATTTGATCGCTCACTTTTTAGCATAAAAAACATTTCAAATAAATTCCACATTGTAAAAGAGTTATAAAAATTTCGCAAAATTTCAACCATCATGCAAGCGTATAGTACATTCTTTGGCGCGTTTTGACTAACAATTTTATTTCCTCAAAAAATTAAATATTTCTTAAAGACATAAATTTTTTTTTGAACAAATTGATGTTCATTTTTTAATATGAAACCGATTGAAAGTTGACTACGTTCTGCAAAATATACCAAATAAAAAATTCACTGAGTATCCAACCTTATTTTAGCTATATATACACTCTCTAAACTTATCGCATTGTGGACAACATAAATTCTTTTTTTTCTTCTTTTTTTGAATCTCAATGAATATTTCCTGACATTTATATGGGTATTTTCAGTCAATATGTCACTTACTTTTTCATATGAGAAAAATCTCATATTTATTCCGTACTGCACAGAATTGTAAAAATTTCGCAAAACGTTAACTATTATGTTAGCGATGTATATACTACATACTTTGAATTAACATGCTTTAGCCCGAACAAGGTCTTTTTTAAAAAATTTTCAATTAGCGTTTTTTGACAAATATAGATGTTTTTAAAATAAATTGAGATTCAATTTTTAATATGAACTCAGTTTCAAATAAATTTCGCATGGCAAAAAAATCATAAAATAATTGCTTTATGCTCTCTTTTGCTAGTCTACTTGTAAGAGGAAATTTATAAAAGTTAGAATAGTTCAAAAATAGTTTTTGTAATCACACAAAAAAATTATGCAGTTTGAAAATACTTTTTATAATCATACAAAAAAATTATACTGTTCAAAACTTGCAATTAGAAATTGAGTTGCGCTTTTTTTTATTGACTATGGCTGCACCCCTGACATTATTAACTCTTTTAAACGACAAAGTATAAAATGGGCAGGCCACGTTATCAGAATGGGCGAAGACCGTACCACAAAAAGAGTTTTCAATGCCAGACCAGTTGGCACACGAAAAGAGGCAGGTCGAATTTAAGATGGATAGATGGCCTAGAGAAAGACCATTTGGTCTTAAAAACCAAAAGTTGGAAAATACAAGAAATAAAAAAAAAGGTTAGCGTGGAAAAAACTTCTTAAGAAGACCAAGGCCCACCCTAGGCTGTCGAACAATTTGATGATGATGATGACTGTACCATCAGAAGTACTGTGGCGTAACTACCACTATAAATATTAAATACCGAATCACTAGCATATAAGAGATGTTAACTTGATTCTATCAGGAGGTACCTTTTGATAGATGAAGGTTGACATAGTCCAAGATTAAATCCCCTCATTGGTGACCTACGGATGTGATAAGAAATTGTCAATATTGATGGATGAATCCACATTAAACAGTTGATTTGCTTAAAAAAAATATACTGCTCAAAGAAAAAAAAAAAAGAAAGAAATCCGGTGAAGTGTAAATAAAGTCTCCCGGTTAATAAATAATAATGAGCGAAATGCTAGAAAAAAAATAATAATACCGAAAAGCTATAAAAAAATGATGGGAAAAAATAGCGAAAAAGCTATAAAAAAAAAAAATAACGAGCGAAATGTTTGGAAGAAAAAATAAATAAATATAATGAGCAAAAAATTGAAGTTAATAAATAAAACAGCATTAATCAACTAGTGGTATCTGTTCATCGAATTCTATCACAGATAAAATTCTGGAAGGGGAGTACTGTGGCGTAACTACCACTATAAATATTAAATACCGAATCACTAGTATATAAGAGATGTTAACTTGATTCTATAATGAGGTACCTTTTGATGGATGAAGGTTGACATAGTCTAAGATTAAATCCCCTCAGTACCGGGTCCCTATGCAATTTCCTGCTTCTCCCCATACTTTCTTGCGTACAGACCAGCGGTCTCAAGTGGTGTTCCGTGGAACTCTAGGGTTCCATGGCAGTGACAAAGAGGTTCCAAGAGTTAGGATGTATGTTTCAAACAGTAATATTTGAAAACTTTAATTATTGTTAGATTCCCAATCAGCAATCCACTATTCATTGCATACATCGGTTGCTCTAATATTATCTAATATATATAATTCTCTTACGTGGCTCCCAAATTTTGGCTGTATTTCTTTTCCGCCGGTGGTAACGTTAGCTTTGTTTTGTTTACGCTTTGAAAACACCAAAGCAGTCTGCCTTTTAATGATGTGTTTCCGATTTAATATATAATTCTCTTACATGGCTTCCAAATTTCGGCTGAAGTACTTTGTACAACTAAATAAGATTCCTTTCACTTTCATTTTTTCACTTTTAACTTCATTTCGGATTGCGAAGCAATCCGAAATGAACCGCGAAAGCAGTTCCGGGGGTTGGCGAGCGCCAGCGAGCAGGGGGCGAAGCCTCCTAGTTTAAAATAAATTGCCATTGTGAAAAAGAAGCAGATAATTTTTTTTAAATAAATATATATTTTTTTAATAACAATGAATTTCATAAATTAGGAAAATATCAAGCACTTATAAAACTTCCATAGTTATTTCCCATCACCCTTTTCAAATGAAAATAAAATTACCAAATTTGTTTATAAATATGCTTTCCTTATAACAATTTTCAACGTTTTAAATTGGTTCAGTTTTAGTTTTTATTTTAAAGAAAATCGCATTTCTGCTTGTTTCATTCATTTTCAGCTGCAAGTATACATTACATCAATTTGTTTATAAATGTGCTTTCCTTATAACAATTTTCACCGTTTAAAATTAGTTCAGTTTTAGTTTTTATTTCAAAGAAAATCACATTTTTGCTTGTTTCATTCATTTTAAGCTGAAAGTATACATTACATCAAAAACAAATTTTAGAATAACTAGACCAGATAACAGCTTCGTGATATCGAATTTAATAGACGGATATAAAAACTGACTTGGAATTAATTATTCCTCATTCCTCTTATAAAATGTTTTTAAAATTAAGTATTTTATTGCTAAATATGCTCGCATTTTTTTTATTTTATTTACTTTATTTATGAAGGTGTGGTTCCGTCGGCAGGTTCCATTGCAGAAGAAAAATATGGAACAGCTGTTTTAGACCATGGTTTGAAGCAAATTAGTTTAGTTTTCTTGTTTCGGTTACTATTTGTTAAAGGATCGCAAAACTATTTTAGTTATTTGTTTTATTTTCGATCGACACGAATGCACCGATTACAAAGCGAATGTAATTTCGTTCTTTTATTTTTAATTAAATCGAACT